ATCTCTCAGGATGACATTAGTCACAAAGAAGTGTTGGCAGTCAGTCTTAGGTACTTAAGTTTCCCTTTTGGGCTGCTCCTACCCTCCTAGAGAAGGTGTTTGTGAGATTACAAATAATGAGAGTGCCAGTCAAACTACTGGGAGCTTTTGATTTCACAAGTGCTGACCAAAAAATCGGGCTTGACCAATTTGAGGTATTCAAATTTGAGTGGCCACTGTACTTTGAAGAAACTATTCTGTTGTCTTCTGGATTCATTGTTAGTAATGAAAGATCTGCTGTTCAACTTAGCCCTTTTGGTTCCTAGGTAGTAATCTATTCTTTTTAACATCTTTATTGGAGTATAATTGCTTTACAATGGTGTGTTAGTTTCTGCTTTATAACAAAGTGAATCAGCTATATGTGTACATATATCCCCATATCTCTTCCCTCTTGCGCCTCCCTCCCTCCCACCCTCCCTATCCCACTCCTCTAGGCGGTCCCAAAGCACCGAGCTGATCTCCCTGTGCTATGCGGCTGCTTCCCACTAGCTATTTTACATTTGGTGTAGTGTATGTATGTCCATGCCACTCTCTCACTTTGTCACAGCTTACCCTTCCCCCTCCCCGCGTCCTCAAGTCCATTCTCTAGTAGGTCTGCGTCTTTATTTCCGTCCTGCCCCTAGGTTAGTAATCTATTCTTTTCTATGGTTTCACTGTTTTCTCTTTGTTGCATTGCAAATCAGGGTGTATCCTAGTGTAGGTTTGTTGTTATTTATCCTGCTTGAGACTTAGTGTACTCCTTTAATCTGAAGACTTAATGTTTTTTCTTCAGCTGTGTTTTTATTTCTGTTATCTTCCCCACTGTTTCTATTCTCCCCTAAAAGCTCCTTTTAACCATAGGGAGTTTCTCATTCTGATTCTTTTGTTTAATCCTTCTATTGAGTTTTTATTGTATCAGCTATTGTTTTCTCTTTCATCTATTTTGAGTTTTTACTCTTTGTCATTCTTGCTCTTTGTCATTCTTGCTTTATTGGTGTTAAAGGTCTTGTCAGTTTGTTCTGTTTGCTCTCTTTCTCTCTGGTGTGGGAATTCTCTCATTTTGGGGAGCAGGTGGGGCTCTGGAGGTTGTCTCTAGTGGGACTGAACAAACAAGCTCATGTTTTGGATTATATAACTTTCTCTGAATGCATCTTTTGTGAGAGTTTGTGGAGGTTGTGGACACCTCCCCATGGGGCAGTTTCACATTTGCATTTTCCTGGCTTCCAGCTCTATGCAGGGAGCCCAGTTCTAGCTCCCTGCTTTCCATACCTGGGGCTGAAGCCTCAGCTTCCAGCATTGTTTGTTGGCTGTTGAATACCCAGCCCCCAAATCCCATATCCAGTTCTGTGCTCCTGTGTATCTTCATGAGTTCTGGCATAGTTTCTGGCACCTAGAGATATCACCCATTCTGGCTTTTGAGCTTGGCTGTATTTTTGTTTTGTTTTTTAGAGTATATTATCTGTATTTCCCTGTGTTTGGGGAGTGGAGGGGGGTTGGTTGGTATTATCTGACCAGAATACATCAGAAGTTTGCAGAGTTAGTGGAACTCCTGAAAATTATCTGTGAAATATTGGACTTTCATCAGTTCCTTTAGAGTGGTTTAGAACCATTGCTTTATGTTGACCTAAAATCTCAACTTCATAACAATTTATATAGAGTTGGTACAGTTGTTTCTGTGCATGACAACTCTTAGAAAACCCTAAGAAGGCTCTTCAAATGGTATTACTTACATCATTCATGGTACCCAGGTCTCTCTTCTGTTTGGCCTGACAGTTTTCTTTAATTGTGGTGTGTGAAGGTGGAATTCTGAATTTTACTCATCCATTCAGTATACTTGTATTTGGTGTAATGTAGAATCCATAAGCTCTTTTAGCAGTTTTGATCCACATTTGAAATCCACTGAAGTTCAAGTAGAAAGTGAATATATTGGATCAGTACAGTAGTAACTTATTAAAAAGAAAACCCAAGGGGTAGGAATTGTGGAGGTAGGAATTTGAAACCCAGCAGGAACCAAAGCAGCTTCCTCTATTCTTTTTTCTTCTAAGTTTTGTAGTCTTTAATCTCTGTGCCTTTGCCTCCTCATTAGCTATGTCTACAGTCTGGCTTTCTCTTTTCTCCTTGCACATGGCTGTCCTAACCTGGCTGTGCATGAGTCCACAGGCTGAATAAAGTCTCTTCAAATAAGAGGATCTGTTTGGCCTAATGGATTTGGTATCTACGTTTGATGCAATTGCTGTATGTGGAGTTGGGAGGGGGGTCAGATGGTGAAAGGTCTGGAGGTAGGCTTTCTTAGAAAGACTTGGGACTGGGAGGATTATGCACTCTTGGTAGAGAAATTGTAACAGGCTAAGGTCAGAGCCTTTAGCAGCCAGTGAACTTTTCCTCCAAAAGGATATTGCTCCATTTAATTGACACACTTCTAGAATATGGTTAGGCCACTTACCTCTATCATAAAAACATTTTTGTTCCTGTTCTATAAAGATACCGAAAGAATGATGCTCACTGAAATTTGGATGTATTTACCATCTCTGGCCTGTAATAGTTCCCTTACTGGCTGTTTTCTCAAATCCCTTTGGTTCCTTGTGAGCACATCTTTCTCTGGAAAGCTGCCCTGTTCTAACACATTGAAGAGACTCATAATCCAGGTCAGAGGCTTAGAGTTTCATGAAGTTCTTTTCTTCCCTTTTTGCCATTGGGACATTCTTACTCTTTTGACATTTGGTGTTGTGTAATAGACAGTTGAATAATGTCCACTGGTAGAGAATAGTACGCATGTATAGATCATTCTGTGGTGAATGCTGTGTTAAATATTATCACTAGGGCTTCAAGAATGTCTTGTTAAGCCCAGGGAAACGCTGGTTGCTAGGCTTCCTGAAACCTGTAAAATAGGGGAAGCAGCTGATTCTTCACTGCATTTGCTTTTTTAGCTCTGATGAAACCCAGTTCTTATTAGTTTTGGTTTCTGGGGTTTTATCAGAAAACACTGTGTTTCTTAAAAGGACATTTTCAGTCTTGGGAAGTATGGAAAGGGCACTTTTCCTGTATGCGTTGGTTCACTGACTCATTTCTGTTTTGTAGGGACAAGCTGTGGGGTGTCTGTGTCTCCATCCTGGCACTCCTGCCTCGAGTGCTCAGGTTGATGCTGCAGAGCCTGCGGGTGAGCAGAGCTGGACCTGAGGAGCTGCCTGTGGTGGGCCAGCTGCTTCGCCTGCTGCTGCAGCACGCACCCCTCAGGACTCACATGTTGACCAATGCCATCTTGGTGCAGCAGATCATCAAGAATATCACAGTAAGAAGCATGAAACAAGGGCTGTGTACTGTTCATACTAGATTCATGGGCATGGAGGTGCTCTGGGAGGCCAGCGTTTCTGTGTGTTGACGGACTCCTGGAATTAAGCCCAGTGTGGTGATTTCTTAGGGCTTCCCCTGCCGTCTAGTAACTGACTGTCACTTAACCAGCGGGGTGACTTTGATTGCAGAATCAGTACTAAAAACCGTAAAATGCTCAAACTGAATTAAGGTGGCAGGCAGCTTAGTTGGAAAAAGTACAGGCATCAGAGTCACTCCTACCTGTTTTGTGATACAGATTCTATTGCTTAACTGTGATAATTTGGCAAGTTGTGTGGGGTTTTTTTTTTTTTTTTAACCTATCTGAGCCTTGTTTTCCTAGCTGTAGAAATGGGAATAAAAGCAACATTGTTGGGTTTTGTTGACCATTAAATGAGATCGTCCAAGTAAGGTTTATACTGTAACTGATAGTTACTAAGCACCCAACAAATGTTAGCTGTCATTAAGGAAATTGAGCAGGAATAAACTAAGGCCTATTTCTAGTCACTTAGTTCACTGGAGAGGCGGAAGAAGTTGGAAGTTGCAGGCTTCAGCTTTGTCTAATGGTTGGTTCTCTGTGTTCACCTGGGGCGGGCAGTTCTGTTTATTAAGGATTCCCTTGGTGTTTTTGGTTTGGGAGAGTTTTAAAGTGAGGTTTTTTGTATAGGCCTTTGATTGGAGGGGGTTATTAATTGGTATATGTAATAATACTTCAGAGTAACAGAGCTTATACCTACATATAACAAAAGATGTATTCTGAATTTTCTCAGTAATGGAAGAGGATGCAGAATTCAGAAATAGTAGAAGGGAAGAAAAGTTAAGAACTTGGATCATTCCGAGGTTGGAGAATCAGCCAGTCTCTATAAGAATGACAAATTGAGGCCTGTTGAATCATCATTCTCAGTGAATGTTATGAGATTCTACAATGCGAAGGGGCGGAAGTACAGAGTGTAGGGGTGGTTAATGGTGAAATTTCATTAGTCCCTAGCAAATGTGGGAGGGAAGAGACCCAACAAGAAACTGGTAGCACTTAATACTTGAGGATGAAACTAGGAATTTTAACTACCTGTGGTAATAATACCTGATTAATAGGTTCCTTTTTTCAGTGAGATTTCATTTGATAATTTATAGATGAGGATACTATCGCAAGGACTGTTTGAGATCTTGTTTGGGTGGGGGAAAAAACCATCAGGAAGCAGTTTTAGTACAACTCTCATATTACTCTTGTTTTTCTCTGCAGACATTGAAGAGTGGAGGTGTTCAGGAGCAGTGGCTTACAGACTTACATTATTGCTTCAATGTGTACATCACTGGGCATCCCCAGGGACCCAGCATGTTGAGTACAGTGTATTGAAAAGGCACTGTGGCACCTCTGTTTGAAATTGTTTATTCACATCTAATTTTGAAGAGACTGATGTAATAAATGTTTGTCATTAAAGCTGAACTTTTAAAGAAGTTGTTTATGAACCTTCCTTTGCACTGAAATAGGAAAATAATGCTTGGGAGTTCCCATTGATGCACAGGCTGGCTTCCTGGACTAGCATGTGATATGTGGTAACGGGTATTCTGTATTTCATAGCTAAGTATATATAAAATACAAAGCGATAATATGGTACCTTCTATTGTATAGTAAGAAATAAGCTCAGTCTTTGTGGTCCCATCTAGGCAAACTTTATTCTTTTTGTTCTCAGCCCCAGTTCATTCAGACAGCAACAAACTAAACTAGTTTTTGGTTTGGTTTTGTTTGGGAGTGGTTGCTTCTCACTCTGGAGTTGTGTTTCCAGAGGATTTCTAGCAAGATTTCAAAACAGTGCTCCCATTTGTTGTGGATTTTCCTGTACCTAAATGGTCCTTGGTCTGAGCTGGGTAACGCTTACAAAATGGTTTTCTACTAGTGATCCATTGTAAGAGTTCTTAATTTATGTTATAATCATTTTCATAAAAATGAAGTAATTTAGTTAGCCAACTGTAAAAAATCCAGGTAATTAAATAACACTTCATTGCTTCCAATCTCTTACTGTCAGGACAGGGGTGGCAGTAATCTTAAAATGCAAGCAGTTCTAGAAATATTTGTGAGCCTAATATGCCATTGTTTCTGCCTGTCTACATTCCTAGTAGCTTTGCCCTTAAAAAATGTGAAAAAGCCCACAATCACTGGATTTTATTTAAACCATGTGTTCTTAGAGAGCTAGAATGCATAGTTAGCACAGTTTCCCATGCCAAAGGAACAGCATTTTGACAAGGTTGCTCACCTCTGCAGGTCAAGCAGAAAATACACGTGGAAGGTTAAGGCCTGAATTGGCACCCCGTGCATGAGTGCCTGGTCTGTAGACCTTCCCGACTGAGGCCTTGGTGCTGTGATACTGCTGGTGCTCAGAAGGAACGCCATTCACAGGACGTGGCAGCAGCCTGTGGCCTTCAGAGGCTGACGCGGCAACTGTAAAATGTAAGCAATCAACAGTATACCTATTACAGTCTTACAGTGTCTAACAGCAAAACACTGGGTCATGACTCTGGTCTAAAAATTAAAACTGATGATGTTGGAATAACAGGATGTGGTGTCTGTAATGAAGTCCGTTGCGTTAGCTTCCAGAAAGTAGTGAACTGAAGGCATCTGCTGTGGGACAGGCTCTTCCCCATCTCATTTAGGTTCTTCACTGGAGCCAACAAACCAGGCTTGCACCAGTTGAGGAGAAATCCCAACCCAGCAGCGTCTTTAGTGCTCACTTCCTTAGTTTTACTTAGACTTAACTTATTAGAAATACTCTTTTCCGGCCGTCCTCACGGACATGTAGGCACACGGGCAGTTTTGCACAGGTATAGTCTACCCTGGTCCTTGCAGCACTGGCTAAGAATTTACAAAACAGTGCTGTGTAAGAGCAGAAAGAAAACACATTTCTCTCGGTTGTTACCACATTTTCAGGCTAATAAGCCTTCAGGCATGGATATTAAAGTTTTCCCAAAGTGTAAACGCTAATCAGAGAATTCTGCACTAGCTACTAGAACCGCCCCCTCCGGGCACAGTCTTCCTCCATAGGCAGTCGAAGCTTTGTTTTGTTTCTTGATGGGTTAGCTGATTGCAGGTTATAAGAAAAATTCTTTGATCTTCCACTGTTCTCAAGGAGGTGTATACACTGCAAGTTGCTCACTGTTAAAAACAAATACCAGATATTCAGATTATTATTATTGCTACTATTATTATTATTTTTGGCCACGCCGTGCGGCATGCAGGATTTAGTTCCCTGACCAGGGATCGAACCTGCGCCCCCTGCATTGGGAGTGTGGAGTCTTAACCACTGGACCGCCAGGGAAGTCGCGATATTCAGATTATTAATTTTAATGCTGAAGGACAGAGTTGATTGGTGGGGAGGAAGAAGGGTTTAGGTTGGATTATCTATGGGGCTGAATAAGGTGATGGCTAGTTTATTGTAGAGACAGGAGGACGTCAGCCCTCCATTTTCCATCCTCTCAAAGATACCTGACATCTTTAAGGAATAACCCTGACTATGAGGGGGCAGCTGCTTGAGGAGGTAGGACTGGAACTTAGGTCTTCAGTCTGCCTGGAATAACTGGTATGATATTGCCTTCTCTGTGCATCTCTGTAACATAACACAAACATATCTATCATTTAACTTTCCCTGTGCCACATACTTGGCTATAGTCCATTCTAGGAAATAGGCTCCTTTGAAAACTATTCAGGTGATAGAATAATAGGCATATCAAACAAAGTGGATTTTTTTTTTAGGCCTTTTTATGACTTTGAAATCACAGAGTTACAGGATGCTACAATTGAAAAATTTTAGTGGTGAGCTCAACCCTCTCTCTCACTTAACAAATGAGGATACTGAGCCCCCGACCAGTTAAGAGAACTTGCCGAAGCCGTACTGCTGGATGTCGCTCCTAAGTGGAGCAAAGAAGCAAACATGAAAGGTGAGTAGTTTTTAAAAAGTTACAAAAATATGTCTTTCTCTCATCTGGTTTTATTACTGTTACTTCAATAAAGTTAAAGTGAACTGTTTGGGAACTCTGGTGTGTTTGTGGCTGCCTTTGTTGTATCAAGTCTTGAGCTGTCATCTGCATACCCCTCTGCAGGTGGGCAGGAATATTCTGCATTCATACAGGGGGTACCGTTTTTAGTAATCACTTAAGCCATGGTTATTCCATTCGTTGGAATGGAATTTTTTTTTTTTAGAGGAAATTCTTTTATTTTTAACAAGAAGGGCCCCCAGATTTAGGACATTGATATATATATGCTCTCTGGTCATGACTGTGCTGCTGTTCTCTGTGGGTGTGGGTGGTTTGCAGGTGGGTGTAGAAGACTGAGGAGAATAGGATTGTTTGCCTCCTGGATGCAGGTAGAGAAACAGTCCAAGGAGTTTGTTACTGTGCTCTAACCAGCTCACTTTCTGCTCCTTGTTTTAAGAGGTAAAGGCACTAGTAAAGTCTCTCCCCAAATTGAAGGGGTTAGGAGCCACAGTCTTCACTCAAATATTTGAGCACCTACAATGTGCCAAACAATGTACTAAAGCTAAGTAGAACAGTGAGCAAAATCCAAAGATCCTTAACCTCATGGAATTCTCAAAGCAAAAATTTCTATTCACGGTAAAGACTAAAATGAGTGGTTTGTCCTTCTTGGTGCCATTTGCCATCTGTGATTCTACATTGCAGAAACCTACTTCCATGTATGTCCAAGTCATGCCCATTTCATGGAAATTTATAGACTGTATTCTGTATAAAACACAGGCTGCAGCTAACTAGCTAGGAGCTCTGGTGGCCATCAGCCTTATTCACAGGTTAATGGTTAATGTGGGTAGGTGGGCCTCATAAAACCATTGTCCTCCAAGCTTAGGTTTAGGAAAAGATTCTCTTTGGTCCTCATCTGTTTTCAAGCCAGTGTAGGACAAACAAGCTGATAGTTTATATGACGTCCTAAGAAACCATTATTTCTTTTATTTATTCTGTCCTTTAACTGTGAGTCCTTTAACGAAAAACCTTTATGCCACTAATCACCTTCATTTTTAAAGATTTGATAGTCCTGGACTTTTGAGACAAAGTAAAAAATGCTCTGATTATCTCATTTTAATATCTGATTATCTAAATGCTACTACTTAAGTAGTTTTATCTGACAATGTGTTTTTGAAACTATTTTTTAATTCACTCAAGTGTAACTAGAGGTTTGTTTTGTTTTGTTTTAAACCTAGAACCATGGGCCTGATTCCTTTGAAAGTCTCTAATTGCCCCTGATTAGCCTGTCTATATTACATGAGTTGCCCAACTCTTATTAAAGCTTTGGCAGTAATTACTGTCCCCCCACCTCTTGGTTTTCCCCCCATCAAAAATAAATGAATGTTAAAGTTCACGCTGACAGTCATTGTTCACCTTCCCAGCTGTGCTCTGTTCCTGCAGGATGACTGTGGATCAGGGACTGGGGGGAGTGTGTTGCCATAGCCACCCATGAGAAACACTGGACCTGGCATTAACTGCTGACAGCACTGAACTTATCACCCAAATTTAATTCTGGCATGAATGAAGGGGCCCTGAGTAAAACAGTCTTGTCTTGTGGCTAAAAAGAAAGTTCCTGAGCTGCTCCTGTATGAGTGGAAGTGTGCACAGTTGAGCCTGAGCTGGACATGCTATTAAATATTAAAATATTAAATGCCTCCTTAGGGGGCCCTAAAAGGCAAAAGTCAGAATCTATGGTCAAGGGACTCCTTCCCATCTTTGGGAAGGAGCTGGAGGATCTTAATGTGAAACCAAAACAGAGCAAGAACTCCCAAGGTATTACTTTGAAGAATGACAGTATTTGTGTTTCCCCCTCCTGTATGTGAACAAGTATGTAAAAGTGATCAGTAATCAGTAATAGGTGCCACTTATTGCTTCTGCTGGAGGTAATGTTATTACGCTTTTGCTTGCAAAAATAACTTGCCTCTTATGGAGAAGAGATGTTTATTATAGTGGTAATTCCATGAAAGGGGGATGAAGAACACATGTAATCCTGAAATCAAATGACTCTTGGAACCCCTGGCAGTCTGTTCTAATGTCTTCCACCTTTGGGGATGAAACAAAAAAGGGAACTGTTTCCCCACATGGTCTCCCCACTCTGCTTTGCCCATGCAGTGGCTGCCTTACCTGAGTTGAGACCCAGCACAGAATGGGCTTTTGAAGATCTTGTGGGCTGATGTACTTTTCCTTCTTGAGAACCTGAAATCAACCAACAATGATCATCTATTTCTGACCAATGACAACTGTGGCCTGACCAAGTTCTGAATTCTTTATTGAGGTGAAGGCTTGAGCTTGCAGGTGTCTGCCAAGATAGATTAGGCATGGTGTGGAAAAACTACATAGGCCTGCCCGGGTCAAGTCTGCAGATTTTGCTGCCAGGGCCACAGATCTGTTTGTAAGGGTGCCCTGACTTAACTTTTTTTCCACTGGGGAGCTAGCCAGTCCTGTTCTCTGAGTTTATTTGGATGGGCACTTTGCACAGCTGAAAGTGTTTCAGTATGCAGCAGTTCATCTGCTAAACAAGTATGTACTGTAGGGCTTGGATCTGGGGTATTCCCACAGATAGGCAACTCTGTACTATCTAAGCGTAGGGAAGTCAGTGTGAGGCAGGCAGGGTCTGCCTGGGCCTGGAGTCCTCTAAATGGAGAATTTTAGGAAAAACAGGCAGCAGCCTAGAGTGGTTGCTGTGGTGAGGCTTTCAGTCATGAAGCCCAGCAGACAATCTCTTGGCTGTAAGGCTTTCTCGGGTGAGATACCAGAATACCTCATGAAACCAATTCTGACCCAGAATTGCTGGAAGGGAGGCACTAATTATGATGAGAATTCTGTTGGTGCCTGGAAGTTTAATAAAGTTCCTACCTGAATGGAGGTTTGCCCAATGTAATTAAATCCTGTTTTCAAATTCTGATGTGACACACTCTGGGGGTGCTTGTTGTAAACTACAAAGTACCCAGAAGGACAGTTACCGTAGATCTGCTTGAGCACTGAGTGCCTGGTGGGCTTGATGCCTGAGCTGCCCTTGGGTGGACTCTTGGTGGTCCTGCTTACTGCCATGGCCTTTGGAGGTTTCAGTTCCAGTTCCTTCCTCCAGACATGGAGGATCAAAGCCATGTACTCTCGGTTCCATCTGTCCATATCTCTGGTTCCAAGCTGCTTTATGTACAGAAGGTGGGACAGGTGCTTCCTGAGCTGGTAGCTGGTGGGGTCAGAGGAGGGGAGAGACTTTAAGATCACAATATTGAGAAAACCAATGTTCCTTAAAGTTCCTAGAAGCTATAGGAAGAGTAGTTGCTGAACTCTTGGGAGATTCAGTCAAGCTCCCGTTCCTAATTTCACTGGCAGTATGTTGAATATTGAATTCTGTCTTTGTCCATCAGTACTTCCTGAACTGGGAATCAATCAGATGGGTCCTTGCCCTCAAAGTGGGACAGGCCAATGTGTAAACAAATGCAGTATGAGAAGTACTATGTGAGAGCAAAGAGCTAGATGGCTGATATTTGTGCTGGGTTTTAAGGGATGAGTAGGAGCTTGCTAGGCAGGGAAGGGCATTTTAAGTAGCAGAACTGGCATGAGCAGAGGTAGATGCATTTGTGCAGGAATGTTAAAGAGAGATGTGTGTGAACCATTATGTATTTGGTAAGGGAAGGAGGATGGGAGGCTGGGCTACATTGTGGAAGCTGTGTCAGGGGAGTTGAGTCATAGCCCAGCCCATGGCTGAGTGTAGCTCCTACCTGGCCCCTACCTGATCAGGAAGGCTGGCCAGACCACCTGGAAGCTGCGTAGCCCGTCCAGCAGTGCTCAGGAAGGGTGTACAGTAGGCAGAGCCAATCATCCACAGAATAAAGCCAATAGCGTTGTTCAGCCAGGAAACTTGGGGAGCAGGCCAGTTTGAATCAAGACCACAAACAGAGGCTCGCCACCTTTGGAACCAGTTGCCCCCACTCTGCCTGGGCAGGAAAAGTAATTCATAGCCCCAGCCATTGCTGAACACAGCCTTCAGCCTGTCCAACCAGGGAAGCTCACCAGAGCACACAAGAAGCTTTGTAGCCCACCCATCAACCTTTCTTACCGTAGCACTTGAAGAGAGCACAGCCCGTGGCTCCCTCACTCCACCCCAGAATAGAGCTAGTGGCTGTGTCTGGCCAGGGAATTCAGTGCACAGTCTTTTACCCATTTTGGGTCCCTGAACAATGAGCTATGCAGGCCCTGGGCCTGTCCTACTGTCCCACCAGAGCAAGGAAACTAAATCATACCCCTGCCTACTGCTGAGTGTAGTGCCCAGTGCTGGCTGTCTAAGTAAGCCTGATCAGAGAGCCCGGGCAACTGCGGAGCCCATCCTGTAGCCTCACTTGAGGAGGGAACCAAACCAACAGTCCTGTCCAACTGTTCGCAGTCAGCAGTGGCAGCACCCTCCTCCTCCCACCCCCTGCTCCACAACCTCAGAGTTTGGGCAGTGGCCCTGCCCCCAAAGAGACAGCAAGCCCCACCTGCTCAAATACATTACCAGCAGACACATCCAGAAACCCAAACTGAGCTGACTGTTGAAGAGTTCAGTTTGCTCTCTGCCAAAGCAAACCTGGAAGAGGAGCCTGATTATTCAAATGCACAGATGCCAACATAAGGAATCAAGGATACAAAAAAATGAAAAAACAAAACAGGTAAACATGACACCAAAGGAAACTTTAAAAAGCTCTGAAAACTGACCTTACAGAAATGGAGATCTGTGAACTGTCAGACAAAGAATTCAGAATTCTCTTAAGTTTAGTTGTCTGTGTGATCTTATAGTTCACTAAACAAAATTAGACAAACAATGCATAAACAAAAGGAGAAAAAGTTCTAAAAAATAAAAACTATCAAAAAAAAAGCCAAATCCTGGAGCTGAAAAATAAAATGCCTGAACTGAAGAAATCAATAGCTTCAAAGGCACACTTAACCATGCAGAAGAAAGAATCAGTGACCTAGAAGACAGGACACTTGAAATTATCCAGTCAGAGAAGGCAATAAGAAAAAAAGAAGTGAAAAAAGCCTATGGGAGACGTATGGGACACAAAAGAAACAGTATCTGCATTATGGGAATTCCAGAAGGAGAAGAGAAAGGGACAGAAAGTATATTTAAAGCAATAATGGCTACAAACGTCCCAAACCTGAGAAGAGAAATAGACATCCAGACCCATGAGGCTCAAAGGACCTCAAATAGGTTGAACCAGAGTAGGGCTACACTGAGACACATTATAATTATTAAAAGTCAAAGACAAAAATAATTTTGCAAACAGAAAATAGAGAAGTTACATACAAGTGAACTCCCATAAGACTATAAACAGATTTCTTGTCAGGAACTTTTCAGGAAAGAATGGGATGACAGGTTCAAAACACTGAAAGAGGGCTTCCCTGGTGGCGCAGTGGTTGAGAGTCCGCCCGCCAATGCAGGGGACGTGGGTTCGTGCCCCGGTCTGGGAAGATCCCACATGCCGCAGAGCGGCTGGGCCCATGAGCCATGGCCACTGAGCCTGTGCGTCGGGAGCCTGTGCTCCGCAACAGAAGAGGCCACAACAGTGAGAGGCCCGCGTACTGCAAAAACAAAACAAAACATTGAAAGAAAAAGACTATCAACCAAGAATACTATACCCAACAAAGTTATCTTTCAGAAATTAAGGAGAGATAAATACTTTCCCAAATAAGAGCTGAGGGAGTTCATCACCACCACACCTGCCTTACAAAAAATGCTAAAGGGAGTAAAGTAAAAGGACATTATTCATCTTAAGGCAGTGTAAAACTCACAGGTAACAGTAAACATATAGTCAAAGTTAGATTCTGTAATATGGTAATGGTGGTGCATAATTAACATACAACTCTAGTTTAAAAGTAAAAAAAAAAGTAGTAAAAATAACCATAACGACAGTAAGCTTTATTGGATATGCAATATAAGAAATATTTATGTAAACTGTAACATAAATAATCTAAAATGTGAAGAGGGAGAAGTATAATATTTAGCAGTGCTATTGAAGATAAGTTAACAGTTTAAAATAGGGTGTTATTTTAAGATATTTTAAGATACTTTATGTAAGCTTCATGGTAACCACAAGGGAAAAACCTGTACTAATTACACCAAAGAACATGATAAAGAAGTCAAAGCTGACTGATACCAAAAGGCATCAAAACACACAGAAAAGATAGCAGGATAAGAAATGAGGAACAATGGATCAACAGAACAGCCAGAAGACAATTAACAAATTGCAATAGTAAGTCCTTACCTACCAAAATTACTTTAAACATAAATGGATTAATTCCTCCAATCAAGACAGAATGGCTGAATGGATTAAAAAAAAACAAAAAACAAGATCCAATGATACATTATATTCAAGAGACTCATTTTAGCTTTAAACACCCACACACACAGTGAAGAAATGAGGATATTTCAAGCAAATGGTAACCAAAAAACACACCCAAAAACAAAAAAAGCAGGGGTAACTATAATTATATCAGACCAAACAGACTTTAAAAATGTTATAAAGAGGGCTTCCCTGGTGGCGCAGTGGTTGAGAGTCCGCCTGCTGATGCAGGGGACATGGGTTCGTGCCCCGGTCCGGGAAGATCCCACATGCCGTGGAGCGGCTGGGCCCGTGAGCCGTGGCTGCTGAGCCTGCGCGTCCGGAGCCTGTGCTCCTCAACGGGAGAGGCCACAACAGTGAGAGGCCCGCGTACCGCATTAAAAAAAAAAAAAGTTATAAAGAAACAAAGAAGGTCATTACATAATGATAAAGGGGTCAATCCATCCGGAAGACATAACAATTGTAAATATTTATGCACCCAACATCAGAGCACCTAAATATACAAAGCAAAACTACCAAAGCTAACAGAAGAAATAAACAGTAATAGCTAGGGACTTTAATACCCTACACTCAGCAATGGATAAATCACTCAAAGGGTCAAAGAGGAAACTGGATTTGAACACTATAGACCAAATGGACATAACAGACATATAGAGAATAGTTATCCAACAATCAGAAAAAACATTCTTCAAGTGCACGTGGAACATTTTCTAGGATAAATCATGTGTTAGGCCACAAAACAAGTCTTAGCAAATTCAAGAAGATTGAAATCATACCAAATGTCTTCTCTGATCATAATGGTATGAAATTAGAAATCAATAATAGGAGGGAAATTGGAAGACTCATAAATACATGGAAATTAAACACTCTCCTGAACAACCAATGGATCAAAGAAGAAACTGAAAGGGAAACTTAAAAGGTATCTTGAGACAAATTGCAAATAGAAACTCTACATACTAAAACTTATGAGATGCAGCAAATGTAATTTTAAGAGGGAACTTCATAGCAATAAATGCCTACATTAAGAAATAAGAAAGATCTCAAATGAACAGTCTAACTGTATGCCTTAAGGAACTAGAACAAGAACAAACTGAGCCCAGAGTTAGAAGGAAGGAAATAATAAAGATTAGAGCAGAAATAAATGACATAGAGAATAGGAAAACAATAGAAAGGATTTAAAAAGCTAAGTTGGTTCTTTTTTTTTTTTTTTTTTTGCGGTACGTGGGCCTCTCACTGTTGTGGCCTCTCCCGTTGCGGAGCACAGGCTCCAGACGCGCAGGCTCAGCGGCCATGGCTCACGGGCCCAACTGCTCTGCGGCATGTGGGATCTTCCCGGACTGGGGCACGAACCTGTGTCCCCTGCATCGGCAGGCAGACTCTCAACCACTGCACCACCAGGGAAGCCCTAAGTTGGTTCTTTGAAAAGGTAAACCAAATTGGCAATTAGCTATACAAATCAAGAAGGGAAAAAAAGGATTCAAAGCAACAAAATCATAAATGGAAAAGGAAACACTGCAACTGATACCACAGAAATACAAAGGATCATAAGAGGCTACTGTAAACAACTATATACCAACAAACTAGACAACCTAAAAGAAACGGAGAAATTCTTAGAAACAACCAACCTACCATGACTGAATCAGGAAGAAATAAAAAATCTGAACAGACCAATAAAGAGTAAGAAGATTGAATTTGTAATCAAAAATCTCCTAATGAAGAAAAGTCCAGGACCAGATGGCTTCACTGATGAATTTTACTAAACATTCAAAGAAGAATGTCAATCCTTCAAATTCTTCAAAAAATTTGAAGAGGAGGGAACAATCCCAAACTCACTTCATGAGCCTACATTACCCTGACACCAAAGCTA